ATTTTCTGCTGCCAGTTTCTGAACTTCTCTCCTCTTGCAAAATTTATTTAACGTCTTTAATACTTCGCCTAGAAATCAAAATATAGATGTTATCATGCTTACTGAATCAACAATACATGGAAAGCCCTTTCCTCAATAATTCTGAAGTATGTTATCAAGCTTTGGAAGAAACAGCTGTTGTACAAAAACTGTCTCAGTTCACACTAGGTGAATTCAGTCCTGAAAGAAGCTTGTCGTTTTTGCTGCCTCCTCTTACAAGAAACTACAGACAGAATCTAGCAAGTAAGTTTCTGTTATTGGGCACCAAGGATAGTGGGGTGGTAATTTAAAACAAAATACTAGAGAAACCAGTAACAATGTTTTTCTCTCTTGTTCCAAAAAGAGCAAAGCAAAGCATTCTTCCATGTTATAATAAATATACATTGTGTTATATTAGTAACACACTGACTTATACTAAGAAATGGTAGGAGTGACTAAACTCTTTCATGATGAACCTATAATGTGCAAATTCTCTCACTACAATCCATATTTAGAATTAAGGAATCGGGGAGCTTCCGGTTTGAGTTCCTTCGGCGACAGACAGAAATCTGCGATCGTGCACGGTTTCGATCGGGGCTCGCCGCTGGAACGCCCCGAGCTGGCTGGTTTCAGGGCTAAACCATCCCGTAGAGGTGGTGAAAAGGGGAGAGACTGCCAGCAGGGTTGAGGAGAGCCGCATCTCTCCTCCTCAGCTGGCCATTACTCCCTTTCCCGAAGGCGGTTGCAGCGGTGGTCAGAAATGGCCACCACAAAGAAGAACTCGACTAGAAAAGAATGTGCAGGAGGAAGATAAGAAGAGAAAGTTTTGGCTGACCGGGTTAAATTGCAAAAGCAACAACTAAGGTACCCTGGAATTTAAACTTACAAAAAAATAACATCGCTCCCAAAGAAGAGTCGGAAGCAGCGAAGGAAAGTGAAAAGGGAAAGGTTTGGTGTTTTTTTTCTTCTCTCCCTTTCCCTATACGGACAACATTTATTTAAGAGACTTAAATAAGAAATCGGAAAAATCCGCTTTGACATCAACAGGCAATTAAGCTGAAAATAAAACAAAATGTCAAAGGGATAATTAAGATTTCTGGACACTAAAAAAAATTTTCATAAGCAGGAAGGGAGAGAAAAAGAATAAAAGGGCAGGATCTGGAAAGAGGGAGGAGACTGCCTGGAATTAAAAAGAATCTACAGTAAAACTTCAACAAAACTTCTAAAAGATACATTTTAACTGAAACTTTGTAACAAAACAGTAGAACCCCAGGAAGAGAAAGTGAAAAAAAAAAGAGCAAAAAGAAACAGCTTGCGTGTATTTGGACTACTTGGTGATCTTTGGATTCTTGGTTATTGCATTTGAATGACTAACATTAATCGGGTGGTTGTTTAAAAATTTATACAATGGCACTACTTCTCGATGAATTGAAAATGGAACTTAAAAAGTACAAAGAAGATGCACAAGAAGGGAAGGGTTCTTTTGGCTTCGTTTTTCAATTCTTAGAAATGGAGATTTGGAACTATGAGAAACAACAAGAAACGTCTGCAAAACAAGAAGACTGGGACAAAGAAGAAGCCATCTTTAATGAACAAGTAATTCTATGTGGGGAAGAAAAAGGAAAGGGGGGAAAGAGAATTGAGAATTTAAGACTTAAAAAAACAACCAAAGAAAAGAAAAATAATTCGAAAAATAAGTATAATGCTGGAAAGCAATAGAAGAGGGGAATACAGAAGAGATAAATAGAAGTAGAGAGACAAGGGGGTAAAAAGGGGAGAGAGAAGAAAAGAGGGAAGAAGGAAAGGAAAAGAAGTTACAATGAGAAAATTGAATTAGGAAGGGACGGGAACATTTTAATTAGTTAATGTTTTATAAAATATAAGTGAAAGGGGGGAATTAATTATGGAAAGCTTATAATTGTTCCCATAGAAGCATATTTAATTGAAAAGTAATGTTAAAGAAGTTAAGATTTTAATGAATATTAACATTAATGATAGAATTGAATTGGAATGGAATGGTGTTGTTTTAATTACATATATTTATAATTTTTTCTTTTTTTAAGAATATAATGTGCATTTTAAGAATGTACCAAGCAGAATCCGAATGGAAGTTATGTATTATATTGAATGTTATAACTTTAGAGTATATATTGAAGCCTAAATAAGAGTTAAATGGATAAACTTAAAAGATATAAAGGCGTCATACTCCAATCAGTAACTACAGGAGAAACTTTGTTTAATGAGAAAAGATAATAGATAATTGAAACAGGACAGACAAAAAATATAAATATAATGATTTGAATTGAGACGAGATAATTAAAATAAAATTGAGAAAATTAAAAGAGGGGAGAAGCTATGCAGAAAATGTAAAACATAAGATATGGAATAGAACAGTGATCCCCAACCTTTCTTATGCCACGGCCCGGTATCCCCAACCTTTTTTATGGCGCGGCCCGGTACCGGCATTAGCTGGGCGCCGCCATCTTTTTTTGATGAAAAAGTGCTTCTGGTGACCTCACCGGAAGCACTTTTTCATCAAAAAAAAGATGGCGGCGCCAGCGCTTCCGGTAAGCTTTTCCAGGTAGAAATGGCTTTCTACCCGGAAAAGCACACCGGAAGCGCTGGCGCCACCATCTTTTTTTGATGAAAAAGTGCTTCCAGTGAGCTTTCTACCCGGAAAAGCTCACCGGAAGCACTTTTTCATCAAAAAAAGATGGTGGCGCCCAGCAAACCAGCGGCCCGGTAGGACTTGTTCCACGGACCGGTACCGGTCCTCGGACCGGTGGTTGGGGACCCCTGGAATAGAACATAAAAATGAGCATGAAATTGAATTTGTGTCTGTACGAAGAAATGTAACCTGGGATTACGCTACTTTCAAAAAAGATGTTTTATTTGTTTGGTTTTTTGTGAAAACTCAAATAAAATTTACAAAAATAAAAAGAATTAAGGAATCAAAACTTAATAGAGATATGCAGCATTTTGGATCCAAAGCAGAAAAAGGTGCTTGGGAAAGACAAAGTCATGTATATCAAACCCTTCCTCATCTTTTAAAGGAGCTTCGTCTTTTCTGGTCTCTCACAATAGCTTCATTTTCTCAGGAAAATAAATGTTTCAACTGACTAAATGTTGAAAGCATGCCTTATAACTGACTCTATCACATTCTGTCTGCAAGCACCTCTTTATCTAGGATCGCATGGTTAGGATATAAACTTAGAGAAAGAGGCGAAGGAGGCAACTCTGGCACACAACGTGAGTGCCCATATTTGTTCTGAAACATCTTTTTAACCCTTTGGATCCAAAGCACTAACACCTTTAAGGATTACTGGCCTAATATTCAAGTTGTCCTCACTTAATGACTTTGCTGCCTAGTTTCATCACTGCTCAGGTAAGCCCTGTTTTTTAAAAAGTGGACGCCTAATATCAAAAACCTCATCAAAAAAGCACAACAAAGAATGTTCTTTCTGCGCCAACTCAGAAAGCTCAAACTGCCCAAGGAGCTGCTTCTACAGAGGAATTATTGAGTCTATCATCTACACCTCTATAACTGTCTGGTTTGGTTCTGCAACCCAACAGGACAGACACAGACTTCAGAGGATAATTAGGACTGCAGAAAAACCAATTACTGCCAACCTGCCTTCCATTGAGGACCTGTATACTGCACGAGTCAAAAAGAGGGCTGTGAAAATATGTACAGACTCCTCACATCCTGGATATAAACTGTTTCAACTCCTTCCCACAAAACAACGCTATAGAGCACTGCACACCAGAACTAGACACAAGGATAGTTTTTTCCCGAATGCCATCACTCTGCTAAATAATTCCCTCAACACTGTCCAACTATTTACAAAGTCTGCACTACTATTACTATTAATCTACTCATCACTCCTTATCACCCATCCCCTCCCACTTGTATGACTGTAACTTTGTCGCTTGTGTCCTTACGATTTATACGGACTGTTTCCTAGTATGATTTGATTGTTGATTGTACCCTATGACTATCATTAACTGTTGTACCTTATGATTCTTGACAAATGTATCTTTTATGTATACTGAGAGTATTTACACCAAGACAAATCCCTTGTGTGTCCAATCACACTTGGCCAATAAACTATTCCCATTCCCATTTCATTATTCTATTCTATTCCTATTCTATACCTATCCTATCCTATTCTCCTATGAGATATGGGAAGCACGTTCATCAGGGAAGATTCTCCCTGCCTTTCCCAAGCAGGTCTCCAAGCCAGCCAGGCTCAAGGACGGTCGACCCTCGGTCAGCACCGGCCACTATTGGCCGGCGTGGCTCCTCCCGATTATCCGGTCACGACCCGCCATGCAACCCTTGGAGACGCCGCAGCCAAAAGGAAAAGCGCGGGAAAAGGGCCTTTTCCTCCTCCTCCTCCTCCTCCGGCTTACTCTTATTCAGAGGGCTGGTCAGCTCGGCTCCCACGTCGACCTCCGGGGCGAAGGTCTGCGGGGACACTTGCAGAGGCACGAACAAGGACGTGTCCGGGCTTTTGACGCCCGAGTCCTCGTCGCCATTGGAGGAAGCGAAGAAGGCGATTCTCGCAGTGGCCGGGAGAGAAGAGGCCCGGCTCAGGCCGCCGCCCCGGCTCCGGAGAGCCAGAGGGCATCCGCAGCGGAACTGGCCGGAGGGGAGCCGAGAAAGCAACCGCGCGCAGCCGGTCACGGACATTGGAAGCAAGCCCTTTCGGTCGCCGCATGCAAGGCCGCGCGCGGCTATCGCGTCACTGCTAAGCGACTCGAGGATCCGGGGCTGGCCCCTGGAATCCCCTGAGTGGGAGAGTAAATCGTAAGCTTTCTCGGCAAAGCTGGCTTGAGAGAGGCTTTCGTCCGACCAGCCGCGTGTGCCCCGTCGCCTCTGTCTATCAACACTTCTGAACGGGGCCGGTCGGAGTAAAGAAAGCTCACCCATCCCCGGCAGTGCCGTGGACACCTAGCAAAGGTCCTCTAAAATCGCACCGGAAATCAGCGGCGGGTTTGGGAGTTGTAGTCCGAGGATGAGCTGAGGCTCGTATTGGCTGAACTGGAGCCTCGCAGGCGTTTGGATGGGGCGCGGAGGAGCGGCGTCCCTGGGAGCCGCGGGGCGCAGGGACAGGTAAGCCCGAGGACCGTGTGTTCTCTCGATCGGGATCTCCTTTTGACCACCAGGGTGTGTTCTTTGCCTCCCTTTCCGTAAAAAAAAATTAAAGGTTCTAATGGCGAGTTGTGGCCGCCCCTCTTGCCTTTTTTGACCCCTGCCTGCTAGCATCCCTTATTGGTGTAGCCCAGCCAAGAGATCGCAGGTTGCACTATGTGCCACAGGAGCACTGACAAATCCCTGGAAAGTGACACTTACTTACTTATCTGGTGAGAATGGGGCGTGCATAAGCGCACAATCGTTCTTACCGTCCCTGTCCTATTGTCCCCAATTATTAGTTTTTATTTATTTATTTATTTTTGTCAATTGCTTACAAGATAATAGGTATAAGTAAAAACAATAGGACAGGGACGGTAGGCACGTTGGTGCGCTTATGCACGCCCCCTACAGACCTCTTAGGAAAGGGGTGAGGTCAATAATAGACAGTCTAAGGTTAAAGTTCCTATATCTTGTATTTAAACTTATTCTTGTTTCTGCTATATTGTAAGCTTTTGACAAACAAACAAACAAATAAATAAGAATGACCCTTGGTCTACTCAACCTCTTATAAAGGGAGGGGGCACAGGTACCAAGCTTTTATTGTACCTGCCACTAGTTTCATTGGGTACCCTGGGGGTTTGCATTGAAGTACGGTGGCTTAGCCAACCCTGTTCAGCCCATATGTGATTATCCCCATCCTCAATTTTGTGAATGGAGATATTGCTTCTGTCTCGTTAGACATTTTAAAGAAAAGACTTAAAACAGTGACTAAAAAAAGAAAAAATATATGGATATAAAATACAACTACATAAACAAGGAATGAAAATGGCTATAGATTATAGTTGTTGATTATATTGTTCAGATTCAGAAGATTAAACATTGCTACAGTCTAAGCCGGGGTCTTCAAACTTGACAGCTTTAAGACTTGTGGACTTCAAACTCCCAGAATTCCTCCTCCAGTCATGTTAGCTCAGGAATTCTGGGAGTTGAAGTCCACAAGTCTTAAAGCTGTCAAGTTTGAAGATCCTTGGTCTAAGCTAAATATTAATATCAAGAACTATGATCAACATATTATAAATCAGCAAATGAGATTTCTCTGCTGGATTAAACGAAGCCTAAGCATCTAAAATATGGACTCTATATATAGGAACCTAAATTTTAAATGGGTACAAATCCATATATTAAACTGTAATAGTTTGTTTGAATTTAATTCGGTTCTTAGCTTAACCTTAAGATTCAGCTATTGTAGACATCAAAGCATGCTCCTACAACTTCTTCCAATTCTTCCAATAAGAAAATCCAAGGAACCTTCCCCACCAACACTCTCTGGTACTTATTACCATAATGTTTAATTACTTCAATAATTAAATGGTTCAGGGATTCCCAGCCTGAGTGTCCCAGGGGTACTTATTTGCCCATTGCAAAAAAAGTAAATGAAATTGTACTGCAATTGTGAGTTGGCATTTTTGCAAGAATTTGGTAGGGGGAAGATGATGCAGGCTGCATCCAATCATTGGCGAGACATTTTTTTCTAGACCTTTTTTAAGTGGTGAGGGATTAGTGACTGGTATGGCAGAGATGCAAGCCTAGCTATCGACTCTTCTTTCTCTTTTCTAGTGTACTGTCACTTCCTCTAAGCACCAGTCATAGTGCATGACATGTTGAAGCAAGGAGGCTGCTGCAATAACTGGGCACTTTCATCTTGAAAAGGGACAACTTTCCATGGTTTTTGCATTCATTCCCACTTTCTCTTCCTGCTTACTCATTACAGAGATAGCTGCAGTGTCTCTCTCTTGGTAATTCACAGGGTGTCAATGTCAGGTTAGGAAGCTGGTAACAGTGAAGATCTTTTTGTTGTCATTGTCTTCGCTTGAAGTACCCACAAAGATCCCAGCAAAAGCCAGCAAAGGGAGAAGGACCTACTTGTAAGTATAGCTGTGACTCCTCTGTTGAGTTCTGTTAATTCTGCCATTGTTACCCCAAAACACTCAGAAGTATCCCATAACTCTGAAGTTGGTGCTGCATGCACCATGCTTCCAATTTAGTGAAGCAGTGAGTGAGCTTTCTGGGCAAGTGTTGTATGCATGTTCTTGCTGATATTTGTATATCTGTTCAGGGCTACACAATGAGGGAAGGTTGTTCCCCTCTTCCTAATTCTGTGTCTTCTCATCCAAACACCTCTTTGGAAGATCCCAGGCCATCCACTTCTGCTATGGCACTAGAGGAACTGGATAGTCCCAAACGACATGGTAAGCTGGCATCTCAAAACCTCTGCCACTAAGGGCTACCAGACAGGCCATGTGCCAAATGCCTTAGAGATGCATGCTTTGCCCATTTTGCCTCTGTCTAATGCAGAGGTCTCCAAACTTGACAAACTTAGCTCTACCTAATGCAGAGGTCTCCAGACTTGTGGATTTCAACTCCCAAAAGCCAGCATAGTTGGCTGGAGAATTCTGGGAGTTGAAGTCCACAAGTCTTAAAGTTGCCAAGTTTGGGGACTCCTTATCCAGGGGTGGGATTCTACCAGTTCGCACCTATTTGCTAGAACCAGTTGTTAACATTCTAAGCAGTTCGGAGAACAGGTTGTTAGAAAAAATTACTGGCCTAATCCTGTAAGGAAGGCAGGAAGGAAACATCCTGGTGTTGCTTACAGAAACTGCCTCTCCATTAATCCTTATTACATTCTTGGCAGGACTGGACTTCCTATCTCAGGAACTTCTCTGGAGTTTTTTTTTTCCCTTCCTTTGCTGGTACTTTGCTTGTGTGGAGTGACCATTGAAAAAAGTGACTTATGACCATTTTTCACACTTATGACTGTTGCAGCATCCCCAGTCACGAGAAGCCAGGCAAGGAGATGCGTGCCTCAATGTGAGTGATGTTGAGTTGGCCATGCCCACCAAGCCATGTCTACCCAATCACATGACCACCAAGCCATGCCCATCAACTAAGCCTTGCCCACAGAACTGGTTGTTAAAAAATTCGAATCCCACCCCTGCCCTGATCCAATGCAAAGGTCCCTCTTGACCCACCTTAAAGTGAATGTGGTACAATAAAGCCCATCATGATCCCATTGTCTAGTGGGAATAATTTCATTTAGTCATCCGAAGTATTCATATTGCATCTCAAATAGCTTTCACACTGTGCCACAGGGAAACTACAAAGGAAAGGAATGGAGACCAGAGATGCTTCAACAGTTCTGGCACCAACATCACAGCCAAAGGAGGGAAGTACCAGCATGGAGGCCTTCCGACTCTCCCTGGAGGACCTCAGGGTAGCAGTCCTCCAGAACTGTAAGCCTGAAACACTTTCAACTTTTGTCTTACTCATGTACTCCCTTGACATGGAAGCCTCTTCAGCCACACTCCACAAAAATAGCTAGGAACAATATCCCCAGGTATGCCCAAGCAGAGGGAAAGATGCTTCAAGTCAAATGAATTGACCAATCAAAATTAATATGAAAGCTCAGATAGAAATGAAGATCTTGAAATCCAAGAGAGATGTCCTTTTACTGAACAACTGTACAGCTTCTTTAGATTTGTTCCAGGTCCTACTTACACACTCCCATTAGTCCTGCATAGTGGAAAGGAACAATCTCTGTTGAAACCATTCCCCTGCTGTGTCCAGAGTGCTCCCCAAAGCAATGATGGTTCTGAGAAGACATCTTGAGATTCATCTTGCTTATCAGAGCACTCTTGAGAGAGAGAAAGCACTGCACAGCTTTAACTTGGGGAAGATAATGGAAATGCCAAGTGTTCCTCAGCATGCTGCCTGAGGAATTCTCGGAGTTGAAGTCCATACATCGTAAAGTTGCTAAGGCAGAGAAACACTGCTTTAACCTTTCCCGGCTCTCCTTGGAAATATGGTTTTAATATATATTTTTTTCCTGTTGGCTCCCTCTTTGGAAACCAAGGACAGTAACTGCATTTACTGTAAGCTCATGGGATGTGGTACATTTAAAGTAGGCTTTTTTCCCAATGCTAAATGCAATCACTGCCATCAGCTTTGGTGATGTAGCTTCTTACCTTACCTCTCTTGACAGTGAAATCCATGAACCGTCGTCTTGAGGCACAAAACAGAAGACTCTGCGCCCTGGAAGAATGGAGGGCAGACTCAGAGGCCCATAGAAATGGTTTGCCCTAACCCTCCACGTTCTTCAGTCCTCCACCTTGCTTCATTTTCGATTTATTTTCGATTTTTTAATGTATTTAAGTAAACCTTTTGGTGAAGGGGAGCATCAAATAAATGTATTGTCTTATTTATTTTATTCATTTGATTTATACTTCACTTTTCATCCTGGAGTTCTGGGTGGAAGATACAGTACTCCCCTCAATTTTCTCCCCACAGCAGCAACTCTGAAATAAAGACCTAGTCCAGTATTTTAACTACCTATACTTTTCTGGCTCTTTCCAGGCTTTTTCCGCACAGCAGAAATCCCCCTATCTTCATTTTCTCTGGGTGTTGAATGGAGAAGGGGCAGCTCGGCCATAGAGGCAGCTGCTTCTGACATTCACAAATAATTCACCTTCCCCTCTTTTCACATTCAAATTCTTGGCTACACTACAACCTCTATTGGTGGAAAACTCATCCACATATACTAACAGTATTCCAGAGACTAAGTTGCATTGATTGTAGGACATCAAGCCACTTCGACTTTTCTCACATATGAATCAAACAAAAGGAATGCTTTCCTTCAAAACAAATTCAGGCACTATCTGTTGAACACAGAAAGTGCTGTCATTTTTCTGATGCTTTTTGTCATGAAATCAAATATTTTCATAGGTAACTATTACAGCTGGTAAGAAACTAACCTGAAAGCATTTCAACATTTCAAATTATGACCCAGAATGTGCTTATACTCCAAAAGCACCTTGAATCTTGACTAGTATCCATCCCGGTAGAATTTCTCTTAGGTTTATTTTGAAAATATCAATATTACAGTAGTTGAATTGCATATCTTTTCCCCACCCCAGGTTCCCAGCAATGCAATTGTCTCTGTTGTTTTTCAATCACTCCCTATCAACACTTTGTAAGCTGCTTTCCTATGTGGCTGATCGCCTGCAGGCTACTAGGAAGAAGGAAATAGAATTCTTTATTGGCCAAGTGTGATTGGGCACACAAGGAATTTGTCTTAGTGCAAATGCTCTCAGTGTACATAAAAGATACATTTGTCAAGAGTCAAGAATCATAAGGTACAACACTTAATAATAGTCATGGGGTACAATAAGCAATCAAATCAGTTAATATAAGGATACAAGCGACAAAGTTACAGTCATACAGTCACAAGTGGGAGGGGTTGGGTGATAAGGAGTGATGAGAAGATTAATAGTAATAGTGCAGACTTTGTAAATAATTGGGACACTATTGAGGGAATTATTTGTTTAGCAGAGTGATGGCGTTTGGGGGAAAGAAACAGTCCGAAACCTCTATACCAAGGAAGCAAATTCTCCATCCACAGGTAGTTGTGCAAGGGAAAGTTGTGCAAGCACTTATTAGTGCTAATTAAGTCCAGTTCTGTGGCTGGTAACACCTGGAAGTAGCCTGGATATACGGTTGTGATTGGCTACTGTAACTAGGCCAAAGATAAAGTACCTCCTCAAGCAAAACGATGTCCCTCTATCAGGAGCAATGTAAATAAATCGTAAGTTGCCACAGGGGTGCACTTTCATAGTACTGGTTCCAAGCATAGTGATCAGTCAAGGTGTCAGGTACAGTACTGATGCACAAGTTATCAGAAACAGGAACATTATTGTAAAGAGTAAAAAATTGTGGCCATGGGAACCATTGTCAGCAGAAAAGCAAAACTCTTGTACTGCACTTCATACAACAGAACAAGCAACAGTTTGTAGTACTAAGCTCAGAGGCACTCAAAAGAGTACCAAGCCCGCGTTTCATAAAGCTTTTAAGTGGTTTGGAAAGTTTCAGCTTGGTGTTATGCAAGCCAAGTGCCTGTGACAGTATGAAACAGCCATACAAGCTGTGCATATCCCAATATCCGACCACGTCATCAATCACAGAATCTATGAAAGCATGTTAACTGCACTACACCAGGAGAAGGAAAGCAGTACCTTATAACTTGAACAACTACTGAAGGTTAATTAAGCCTCAGGTGTGGGTTGGAAATGAGACAAAGTTTCAAAGATTGATGGTGAAGGTGTGTCATAAAAATGGTTACCAGGGCATATCTGTCCTGCAACTAAAGGACATGAAGAAGTCCACAGTCATTTCTATCATATGATCCTCCAATATATCCATAACACAAGAAACATTGAACAGAAGAACTGCCTTTGCTTTGCCTTGGGAAAAACGTAATCTATGCAGTAATCTGAATGTTTAATATGAAATAGAAAAAATGCAATAGTCTGCCCTATTCTCACTTTAACAATTCACCAGGTCATCGAAAGACATAATAAGCTGATGCATAATCCAACTGCCTCCTTAATATTAGAATTTCCTGAGGAAGTCCACTTAATTTAAGATTTTCACTTGATAATTTTTGTATTAAGTAAACATTGCCATCTCCATCCAATACACTGAATGCTCCAGGTCCCATACCTGATGGAGATAAACCTGGTGGGACCCAGAAGAAAGGCCTTCTTTGTGGTGGCTCCCTCTCTCTGGAACATCATTCCCTCAGAGATTAGAATGGCCCCCACACTAATACTCTTCCACAAGGCACTAAAGACCTGGTTCTGTCAGCGGGCCTGGGGAACCCAGAGTGGGATGGACCGCATCAAATGGTTCGTGTGATCTGCTGTCGTGGTGGTGGGTGGGAGTTGGGGGTGATTTTTTATTTTTTTCCAGATTTTGTTCTATTGTACTTTATTAATTTGATTCTTTTTGTTAAGTTTTTATTGTTTTTTATTTAAAATACAGTTTTCTGTAAGCCGCCTCAAGTCGCCATGGGCAAATAGGCGGCAATATAAATTCAATAAATAAATAAATAAATCTCAAAAACTAATTATGCTTCAAGCAATAAGACAATAGTTTTATAAATGAAACAATGTGAAGATCTCCATATTGTTTAATGTATAAAACTATAAAGACAGAATTTAGTTTATAAAATGGGAAGGAAGGAATCCAGAAAGTTCAGTAGTCAACACACCCCTGCCCTTAAATCATTCTTCCCGACACCATGGTCAATGCTAATATTTCAGAATAAAGAAATAAAATGCTATTTTTAAATATGACATTACTTTCCTTGTATTAAAATAGAAATTCTCAGACCTGAGACTTTTGTGTACAGGAGTGTACCTTTGAGGTAATATTTAGTCCCTGCAATTATCTTGGCAACTGATTTGTCCTTTCTAGAGCTGAGTGCAACTGGGGCTCAAAGTCATCCAGCTGGCAATACCTACAGTGGAACCAGATTCAGTCTGCTTGCCTTACCATTTTGCTAACTTGGCTTTCCACTAACGTTTACATATTTGTTTTAATTTAAACAATGAAAGCAGCCAAGTGTCTTCCCAGTTTATACAAAAAAAATTTCCTATCACAAGAACTTTATGCCCAACCTACCAGTAGAATACAAGATACCAAGAAGTCTTCGTTTTCCCCATAAACTACTGCTCCCTTTTCAAAACTCTCTTTTCTTAGGACAAAAAATATTCTTCCCCATGAAGGCTATAAAAAAAGAGTTAGTAGGGCTCCAAATGCATGGCTATGACCACCATTTTGACTCTGACAATCCTGGAGCCAACCCAACCAATAAAAAAGCTAAAAATATTTGTTCTTCTAGAGGTTTATCGAAGCCCACCATTCTTCTCTATCTAAATAGTCTCACTCTGGGTTCTGTTTTTACGTCAGAACAAACTGCTGACATCTAAGCGATCGTTGTTGCTAGTTCTCATGTTGCCAGACTAATCAGTAATAATCTTTTTCCAAATCTACAGATTATGCTTTCAGTATGTTTGATTTATAGATTTGAAAAATTAACCTAAATCAGTGTTCCTCAAATGCTCTCATCATAGCACTGGAGTAGAACCTGTGACCCCCCCTCAGATAGACAGCAACACACAGCATCCCTCATCATTAACCATGCTGACTAATGCTGCCCTGAACTGTAATGTAACAATAAGGATGCACTAATATAATGCAATTTGCATGGCGGAATAGATGTATACTGAAAACAAATGGCCACTGAAACTGCTTGTATAACTGAGACTGTCTCTGCAATAAATGGATTGGTACTATAAAGTATATTACTGTCTCTCTGGAGTTTTGGAAGATTTACACCTACAATTTAAAAAAAACATTGTGAAGATATGAACAAACTTGGCATCCATTGAGAATCATTAACCACTTCCACCTAAGGACTTACAATGGAGAAATCAGTGAATTTTGGAGATGGAAGTGTAATTTTCTTTTTTCCATGATGGATTAGATGCCATTTAAAACATGCAGGTCAGTTAAAGTTGTATATTACCAATTAGAAGAGACAGATTTACTTCACAGGATATTGCACATAAAGTAGTCAAGAGATTTTAGGGAGAATACAGTTATTTTTAATAATTCAAATAGCAATTTATTATGTCTATTATACATAGTTGCACAATTTGAGGCTGGTTAAATACAATCAATTTTCAAAATTTATTGGAATAGTTTCTAGATTGCAACATGCAAGTGTCCATGAAAATATTTGGCTTTTTTTTTTTTTTTTTTGAAATTCTGAACAGGCACTTACATGAAGGAATCAAGTTGTCTCTGTCACAGGTTTTAAGAAGAGAAATATCTCAGCACACAGATTATTCTTGGCTTTACCAAAGTGCCCCAGTAATAAAACAGTTCTTTCCTAAATATAATTTAGCAATTTTGTTACTTGACACAGTAAAATAACCAACAATACTTGCACTTTAGAAACATTTTAATAAATAGGCCAAGTGAATTGTAAATGTGAGTAACTTTCTAATTCAACAGGTCCCCATAGTGTGCTAAACAGGCAGTGTGGCTCTAAAAACTGTATGTTAATTGTGGACAAATGGAGGCTAACAAGATTTGCCTGAACATACTACATTCCAGAATGAATTATAAAAATAAACCAATCTTTTGCTGCACAAGAATACCATCTTCGGAAATTCAGGTGTTTTTCATCTATATATTTTTGTACAAGCCCACATTTCCTCACAGAAGCTCAGCATGGAAAAGGAATACGATATTCTACATTTGAGGAGGAAGGTGAAAAAGATGTATTTGATGAGAAATAAAATTTTGTGCAAATGATCCGGTATTCAAGAGTGTAAATTAGTAAAAATTATCTTAAAACATTTTATCATATACACGCATCCTTAATCAAATTGGGGTTTAATGAGAGAATACTGTATTCTAGCCCAGGTCATACAAATCTTGAAGTGAATTGGAATCTGATCACAGAGTCATTGGAA